AGTGAAACCCTAAGGTGTTGGGATTAAACTATCAGAGAAAAAAGCTTCCTTTTTGTCTGCATTAATTAAGCCCCATATTACCATCATCATCATGGCTTTAGATTCAAGCTTTCAACTGCCAATGATTTATTCTGATCTAGGGAAATCAGCAAAATCTGCTTTTTGCAGCCAGAGTCATAGAATAATCTCACAACATGTTCAGAAAAGTTCATTAAGGACAGCAGTAGTTTTCCAGCTGCACAGCTCTGTATTAGTGAGTGATGTTTAATTGTATAATGGCTTTGATTATGATATGTTGTTATGTTCTACTCCTGCTGCCACCATACCCCGGAGGGAATATGCATGCGAACATGGTATTTCATCTCAGATTGTTTTTCTGTATAAACAAATGGGTTTTAATAAATTCACTGGAAATCAAATATTAAAATAAACCAACAGAACAATGATGACTGGGGAGTACCACAAATCATACTTTTGGTGTTTCCTGAATACATGACTGTTGAAAAATAGATGCAGCTGCTGCCATTGGTCACTTGTACCTTATTTTAGGAAAGCCTTATTACTCTTCTGTGTCTGAATGCTATGGATAGAGAGCTGTAAGTCAAGATGGCATCTTCCTTGCATGGTGAGAATGTACATTGGATGTTTCAAAACCTATTTCAACACACAGGAGGTCAAGCAAAGTACAGCACCCTAATGTTTGACTTTGAGCAATGTTGGGTTTGTAGGATTTAAGTTCCGTGACTGTTGCAGACCTCATAGTGCTCATCTGTAGTTTTTCCATCTCCCCCTTTGACAGTGTGCACTATTTAGGGCCTCCTTTGAAGCACACTAGGAAATCTAGGTGATGAAGAAGTCAGCTAGCTGCATTTTGTACATTTTGCACAGTACAGACTGCAATAAACATGTAGCACTTTTGATCAGGTTTCTGCACCTGCTTCCTGTCTGTTTTGATTATCCCAGATAATGAAATTTAACCTCAGATGATGAGGGCGTTGTTATTTCTGAGACTACATTCAACAGAAAGACCCACTAGAGTAGCCATGGTCAGCTCACGTGCTCCTGCTTTACATTCTTAGATCTAAGGATGATGCAACCACCAGTAGGGTTTTCTTTCAGGTCCATCTCTCCAAGACTATTGGAATTCATCTGAAATTATTCATGTCCCAGTCTGAAGACATTCTCAAGATTTTTCTTGTTCTTCTCCTCAAGATTTTTAGCATCAAATTTTCTTTGAGTTTCGAGGTTTTTTTTTTTTGTTTTTGTTTTTTCAGAAGAGGTACATACATCTTGTGCTAGTCCTTATGATTAAGAGAAGACTACTGTTATTGCAATAACTTTATTTCTACAGGAGCTGTGCAAACTAGGAACCAAGTAGCATGTAATCGTCTCTTTCTGTACCCCACAAATCCTCAAATGTACCTACACTACTGACAGTTTGTCTGTTCATTACTCCTCTGCTTGGAAATTGCAATCAGAAATAGGGAAGCATATAGTGAGTTCATATTCATGCTGCACTAGTAAAGCTTCCCAGGTTTTGGAATTCCTGCACGCAGAATTTGATTGATCTTCTACTTCTGGGATGTCATAGATTGCATTCCACGTTTGGGCACTAGCAGAGTCAGAGGTGTGCCACCAATAATTTGTAAATGTTATTGTTATTCATTGGTAGCATCAACATAGGAAAAGGGGTATGCTTAAATCTGAAGGAAGCTTTTTTTAAAAGATAGTTTTGCTTTTTTTTTTTTTTTCCTTCAAATTTATGTACATATTTTCTGAGTCCTTATGAAGAATTTCTTGCTCCTCTGAAGAATTAAGCTGGACTGATTTCAATTCCATCCTGTTTGACAAATAACTGCAATGACTGATATTGATTTTTCTCACTCTGCTGATTTTATTTAAACTGGCTGTTGGTTTAAATGCTCACAGAGATTTTTATACAAGAAACACTTCTCACATGCATGGTAGTTTTCCTAAAGTTTTACAGAATGATCACAAAGACATATATTTGCAGTTTTGAAGAATGTTTGCTATGTATCTTTAGTTATCTTCCTATTGTGAAAATGAAATAATTCAGTCGTGTAATTAAGCTTATCAACAAGTGTTAGTATCCAGAGTACAACACACGTAGGGGTATTCTGGTAAAGGGCGGTAAATTGTCACCTCCCCTATAATTTTTGGCCACAGAGTCCAACTAGTTCAAGGAGAGATACTGCAAGAGAGAACAGCCCTTAGACTACCAGTGCATCTTCTCCCATTATACAGTGCTTACTTCACCAGTAAACCCCATTCTTCTGATGAAGGTTGCAGCAAAACACTCTTGTAGTGAGAGAATTCACAAAGGGAGGCAAGGAGATGAGGCTGTGCCTGCATTAAAGACAGCAGAAACAAACATTGCATTGTTTGCGGTAAGTGGAGCTGCCTGATATCCCAGGACTGTCACACACTGTTCTATGCTAATGTGCACCTTTGGGTAAAAAAAGCTGGTGTTAATAAAACCTCTGCTCTACTTTTCTTGGAAGAGCCACTTCTGGCACTCAAAGCAGCTCTTTGCTTCCATCCTCATACACCTCCAGCCCGCAGCCAAGAGCAGCTCCTGCAATTTATTAAATTAGTTCTTTTAAAGAACCCCTTAAATACATTTTTTCCGAGCAATTTTTTCCCAGTGAGCCTGGGCTGGTATGAGTGAGTGAAAAGCTGGTCGAGGCAGGGCAGGAGAGCACAGCTGAAAGCATGGCTTGAGTGACAGGAGGTGCTATCCACAGGGAGTGGAGTGGGACTGCCTTTGAGCTTTTTCTTTTTATATCCTCCCCTAAATGAAACATCTCGCATGCAGCAGAAGGGCTTTTTTTCTTTTTTTTCTTTTCCCTATGTCACTTTTTTTTTTCTCTTGAACATATTACTGGGTACTGCTTAATGGCAATTTCTGCAGGAAATAAAAAAGAGTCACTGACATGAGCAGGACGTCTGATATTAACCATTTCAGGGCAGCTCTTGGGTCAGCAGCTCTCTGTTTAGAAGCATTGCTTGAAATCCCATCGGGTAAATGAATGACTTCTCTTCCTACTAGTAAGAGTAGCCCATCTGGGAGAACAGCAGTCGGACAGAAGCAATGAGAAGAAAACTGTACTTCATGGTGAAAAGATGTGTGCAACTCATCCCATTCCAGAGCAATGGAAATTATTTCTTAAGTTGCACAGAACCTAATTCTTAGGACAATATTTTCGTGTCTCTCTCTCTCTTTTTTTTTTTTTGGAAGAGGTTGTTACAACATAACTCTTGATATAAAACCCGAAAATTGCTTCTCCTAGCTTATCAGTGGTAACCAGAAGGCCAGAAGGCAAGCGGTGTCCATGAGGGACTTGGCACAACCTGGCAAACTGAAGGGCATGTGCTTTGGTTCACTATACGATGAACAGAAGGAAAAGTTCCATATAAGCAGATCCAACTTGATAAACACGAGGAACAAAGTTAAGATTAACAACCAATATTTTTAATTAGCCAGCCACTCCCAACAATGAGGCTACTGCACCTTTATGTTTTTGTTTTTGTTTTTCATTTGCTTCATACACAGTTACCAAAGCAATTAGTGCTACAACTTTGCTCTCAGCATCAACTTCATTAGATATCTCTGTCACTTCAGGTTATTGAACTATAACCATGAAAATGAAGTGGAAATTTCATCCACTTAAGCATAAAATATACAAAACATAAAATTAACAACTGAACGCAGCATAAATGTGTCTTTTGATACATTTCCTTCTGAATGGCAGAAGACAGCTGCTGGACAGGTACTAAAACCCTCCTAAGTTTTGTGTCTGGCAGCCTGCTTATAATGTGATACGAATCTTTCTTCAGCTAAACACAAATTAAAAATATTAGAAATGTGCTGGAGAGGTGACTGAAAGACCAACTCTGTAGCTAATAATCTAATACTCTCCAAAGTCTTCCACCACAGCTTGGCCACTCTAGTATGTTTGGACAGCATAAATTAAATATTTCTGTAACACAGATAGATGTAGCCTCAGAACTAGGACTTCTGTCCCAGGCGGGTAATCCCTATCTACACTGAGCTTTTCTTAATGTATTTACCACTGCACACAGCACAAAGCGTAGCCATGCTATCACTCTGGTTTAAATGTGATAACTAAAAAACTTGTTTTCTCTGCATTAGTCCTCTCCCTCCTATTACTAATGACAAAAGTTCCCATGGGTAGGATATTTTAAAATTAAAATTAGTGTGAAAAGGTCCAGTAAAGCACATAAACCAAAACCCACCATTCTACATAATTGCACAATATTTCAGACAGAGAACAAATGATACAATCCATTACAGCTTTTATATGCATTTTTCCATTAAAGTTTATAGCTTTTCTCATGAATGTGTTCATAGAAGTTGAAACTGTAGAGGAAGACAGACAGAATCTCAGAATAAATGCTAAAAAGATCACTAATTAAGTGGGAAACTTCTCAGGAATGAAGCCTAGAAGGTGGAAGAAAGGCATGCAGAGATTACAAGCAGGTTCCTCCTCTTGGAAGAGATCTCTCCAGCTGACCTTCTGGAAAAAAGTTGCCGACTAATGTTGCACACACTTTGCTGCAAACCAAATAGACTAGAATCACCATTTCTCCTTTGCAGAGCTGCAATAAAAGCACTTAATTTGCAGGATTGCTGTAACTCCCAAATATGATTTACAAGAAAACTGGACAATGTAGTCAGCATACATGTTAATTAAAGCTGTGGCCTGCATGAAGACCCACACTTCTGTGACAGAGTCACGGGCATATGTGAGACAAGGTCCCTACATAAACAAGTCAGTATTTAAAATCTACCCAGGTACTCTGGTTAGTGTGTTGTGTTTTTTTTTTTTTTTTTTTTTTTTTTGCCATGCAAGATCCAATAGTTCTTTTTTTGTGTGTGATGGCTCTGAGGCACAGACCGTGGAGTGCAATGGACAGCTAATTGCAATAGTATTTGAAAGAAGGGCTGACATACTTACAGTTGCATTTCTTCTGAACAAATCTGAGCTTACAGGCTGTTCGGTAGGTGGACAAACGAATGCGATCCAGATCTTGAGCCCCTAGTGGAAGAGAATAGCAGAGACATTTGTATGGAATATAACCTACGTGTTATCTTTGGTAACAGGGATGCCAGAGAACAAAGGGGACACAGGAGCTGACTCTGTTTAATTATTTTCAAGGTTATCTCCTTTGCAGGGAGAGCGATGAGGGGAGGGCAGAAAGATGGGGAAAGGTGGGAGCTACAGCGTTAAAAGACTTTTACGAAGGAAGGCAAGGAATAGTCAGCCCACTGTGTCTGTCACTTTGAAGAACAATCTGGTCAAGCTGCAGGCTAAAAGACACACTGGCCAGGCTCCAACAGAAGGGAAAACCTCCATCTAATTTTAATATTTAACAACAAAGCTCATAACAAATATCTTTGGCAGACGTGCCAGATCAGAACGAGGTATTGCCAGCAAACCAAATTGGAAACAATATCATGCCGTAACTAAAAGGCTGATAGAGATCTGCAGAAGGGGGCAAAAATGCTGCAAGGAGCATGGGGCATCCTCTGTTTCGCAGAGGTATGTTCTCTGCAACGGAGATCGCTGAGCCGGCTCCCTGGCTCACACACAGCTTGGCCCTGGCCTCTCCAGCTTAAAGATTTGGCAGCGTTTCCAGAGCAGCTGTCCAGGAGATACGGGTAGGAGCTGACTGGTAGCTACTCCACGTGAAAGAGCAGCAGAAAGGGACCGGGATGGGGGGCAGAATCTGGCACGGTGTCTTCAGGCATACTGCTGGTGTGTATCATCCGCTACACTTTCCAAAAGTCTCAAAAAGTTGATGAGTAGGTTGTTATTTAAATGTTTCTCTTTCTTGGCTGGTATGCCTTACACAAGAAGTGTTGCTGCATGGCTACAATATGGCCTATGAGATGTGAGACTGCTTATTAATTGTGCCACGCATTTCATGGAAAGATGTACAACTGAGCTCTTGCATATTTGTTTTCTCACTGTGGTTGGCCCTAGAATAAAAGAGTGAAAACCGTTCTGTTCAGTTGAGCAGCCTCCTCTCTAGGAACGGTACCAACCTACAAGAGCAGGGCTTCTCCAGGAACTGTCCAAATGAAACACATCCATACAAGTGAAATATGGCCCTGTTCTGCTTTTACCCATTTCCCAAAGGCTTTCCTTGAAATTCCTCTTATGTTATTCGACTGGCCGCTCGGCTTCACTGCTGCACGTATGGCCATGTCAGCATCGTTCACCCACACTTTCTTAAACAATCTGGCACCCTTTGGACCCGAGTATTGCAAATGTGCTCCACCCTGTGAGATGAAAATGAGAACGATACTCTCCCATCTCCCCAGACTCTGCTCTTTTCCTGACCGCATTGTCCCACACCATCTTCTCGGGGCTCTCAGCTACTCCCTTCTGCCAGCTGGTTGTCTTAACACCATCTGTTCCTGGAAGAAGCTATCTTTAACTACTTCACATCAGGTCTGGAAAGTCTTGTGTTTTTTTTCACCATAGGCTTATTGCTAAATTATTGTTTTTCTCTTCTGTATTAGTACCCCATTGACAGCTTTTGGAAAACTCCTTTACTGTTGAAGGAGAGGGTAACGCTTACAACAACAAGTCTTTCCTTTTTTAGTAGGACCAATGAGTAATACAAACTTCACTTTTTTCCCTTTTAACCTTAGTGCAAGGCACTAATAAAAGCTTCCAAAGCTCCTTCATGAAACTTCAGCATTCTAATAAGATGAACAGGTTCAAAGCAAAGTGAGACTGGCTCGTACTTTCTAGGTTGTAGTATTAATTCCAAATAAACAAAACTGTAGGCAGTAATGATGCTTTTTTTCCCCCTACTAATTGCACACACTGAATTGTATTACTTTGGGAGGAGATGTTTTTGTTGATAAATCCATGGAACATACAACTTAATTCTACCATGATTCACGTTTTACCACGGTCTGAGATCCATTTGTCAAATAACTTCTGTAAAAACATGACTTCATTTACATGGAGAGTGCTGAAAAATATGTAGAAAGATGTGTGGGACTGAGCACGGCAAATGAGAATGGGAATTTACAACTTGCCTACAGGATTGCCAGTGGCCTCTCATTCTCTTTGCCCACTGGCAGTGTTTCATGATTTCTTTTAAATATTCTCATCTAGGTAATACTGTTGGCAGTTCTCAAAAATAATAAAAGGAAACACTGCAACCCTTGGCTGCCGTTTTCATGCTGGATAATATGTGCTGGCAGCACTACCATAACGTACATTTTGTTTTTTTTTCATCAGAGCAGTCTGGATATATGAGCATGTCAGGTAAGACTAAGGGTAGCCTACTGATGTGACATCCAGTGGTGCACCTTGAGAGATAAGATTCAACCTAAACTTTAACTCTACAGAATATGATATTGGTTATGATACTAATTCACAAAGGCTTGTTATTTGGCACTAGAAAGATGCCTCTTCTGAAGAAAGGGAAACAAAGAAGTCAAACTAAACATCTCTAATTACAGGGAAAATCATACACTGCCCCAAATCTGAAGTGAGAGTCAAATTCATCTACACTTTGTTCAGAACAAGCTTCCTACAAAGGCATGAACAATTGGATTTTTTTGCTCTCTGGTGCAGTCTGGAACATGATCCACTTTCTAAAAACACAGCAGAGTTTTAATTACAGACTTGCAGATATTACCACAAAAACCTAAAACACTGGCAAACTCCTCTACATCATCTATTTTTTCCTCTAACATGGGCAGGTTGAGGAGTTCTACTTTCTACCAGCAACTTATGTTTTTTTACAATGTTAGGAAACTTTGCACGACCCAGGGTATGTAGGGCATGTTAAGTGCATGATTTTTGTTCAGCATGGACTGTGTGGGCTTGCACCCATCTGAGGGCACCTGAATGCAATGACAGCAGGATGAGTTTCTGTTTCAGTGCAGCATACCCTTTATACCCACAGGATCTCAACATGCAAAATTGAGCGTTTTATGAATGTGAATGCTTCTTTGCCTAAAACATATTTAGTTTGTCACACACAAAAGAAATGCATTTTCCCCTCTATCTTTTTACCTGGTTGGAACCTGGTTCTCTGTGTGCATGTGCAGCAAAAATAGGAAAAAAGGCAGGCAGATAGGAAAGGGAGGAACACACGAGATAAACCAGACACAAGTAAATATGTCAAAATACTAAAATGTGAAAGAAAAATAAGTATTTGTGTAGACTATGGGAAAAGAATCCCTCCTCATTCTCCAACTATTCATTGTCAATTTTCCCAATTTTCCCAGCACTGCCTTACTTCCCTCAAAACAACCCAGAACAACAAAGCAGCCTTCAGAGCTGTGGGAGCAAACCATAAACACCCACTGCAAATTCTTAAGGAATTATCTCCTGGTTTGGGAGTTCAGAAGCATTTCAAACAGACTGAAGTTAATGGAATTTTTGCCATTGACTTGAGCTGATACAAGCTCAAGTCCTCCGTATAATTGTAATTAAAAGTATACTATGTTATGGTAATGGAGAAATGCATCATCCTTTTTTTTTTTTTTTTTTTTTTTTCCTTCTAGCTAAAAAACATGCTTTTCTTCCACTGGCCTGGGATGTTGTACCAAAGGGACAAGAGGAATATCCATCTGAGTTACAACAGAAACCCTCATGTGGTATTGAAAGAAGTACAGAGCACAATACAGTTAGTGGACACCACGGTACGGGCCAAGACCATTCTCAATAGGCCAGCTGAATGAAAAGTCCTTATTTTGGAGAGTTTGTGATCACAGATGCAGGCCTTTTGGTGCCCTTGGGAACTGAAGAGCCCCCACCACAATGATTCACCAGCACGGACCTGGCCTTTCAGTGTGCGCAGTTGCTCTGGTCCCATTAATGCCCTGATCCATTACGGCCTTGTTACTTTTGAGTTCATAGGCCTAAAGTCTTGACAAACAGAGCAGAATGGGCAACCAGCTCCTAGTGATAACCAGATGAAATATTTTGAAAAATGAATATTCATAAAAATCAAAGTATCACTGTTCTGTCATTTTTACTACATTGTGAGGGACAAACAATAGGCAGCGTACTTATTACCGATAAACTTTGGTAAATCTAGTAAAAGGGTGACAGTCTCAAACTTCAAACATAATGCAACTTCCCTGAGAAATGGTGGTTTGTTTGTAAGGGAAATAAGAGATGACTTCCAAGAGAATAGTAGGAGCTCTATTAGTATAGCACACCCGTGACACACGGGTCCGTGGGGACCACAAAGCTTCTCTAGAAAATATAAAAATTGCACTGAAGTGAGATATGTTCTACATGAGACCCTGCACTGGGCCTGGCTGGGATGGAGCTACCTTTCTTCATAGCAGCCTGCATGGTGCTATCTCTTTGATTTGTGGCTAAAACAGTGTTGATAATACACCAGTGTTTTACCTATCGCTGAGCAGTGCTTGCAGACCATCAAGGTTCTCTCTTTTTCCCACTCCGCCTCAACAGTGAGTAGGCTTGGGGTGGGCAAGGGGCTGAGAGAGGATACACCAAGGACAGCTGACCTGAACAAGGCAAAGAGGCAGTAGTCCATATGATATAGGGTCATGCACAGCAATAAAAGCCAGAGGTAGAAGAAGGGGATGGGAAGTTTTGCCTTCCAATGTATATACTGCTTGAAGCCTGCCTGACTATTGGTTTGGTTTTGGGAGATGGTGAGTGACTGCCTTTGCATCACTTTTTTTTTTCTTTTCTTCTTTTTTTTTCTCTTTCCTCCACTTATTTAACTGTCTTCATCTAAACCCATAAGGTTTTTTACTTTTGCTCTTCCTGTTTAGGGATGTGAGGGGAGTGAGCAAGTGCCTGGGTACATACTTAACAGCTGGCTGGGCTCAACCCACAACAGAAATCCCCCAAATACAGTCTTTTGGAGACCTTTTTTCCTTCTTCCTTGCTACCTGTGTATTTCAGCATATTTGTCTCAAGGAGCCATTGTTTAAAATAATTCTTTATGGTGTAGAAAAATACGTAAGCTGGTGTAGAAAATCCCTCTCCCCTGCTATTTGGTCAAATCAGCCCATTTTCCTGTAGTTTGGTCTCACAATATTAAACTTGCAGTGAAACAAATGTATCAGTTACTTGAGATGGAAAGCTTACATAAATTTTACTGACATTGCATTGCAACTGGCATGGTCTACCACAGTGACATTTCTAGGAAGTACTTACGCATTTCTGCAAACAGCTGCCTTCTTTCTGCCATGGTATTTCCTCTTTTCCCGCAATCTTCAATCATTCTGGAAGACAAAATCGTGTGAAAATATTGAGTATTATTCCCAGGCTGAACATACATATTTAAGCATCCAGAACTGATCCCGGAGAACCTCGGAGGTTGACTGGTGCTCCAAATGCACCCAGTGCCTTTTCCCAGCCTCTCTGTGGCATCGTTTGGGGGGAAGCTGGTCCCAAAATTGTCCTCCATTCCCTAGACTCAGCTTTCAAGCATTTGTTTTCCCTCTCTCTCTCTCCCAAAGGCAATGTTTCGTTTTTCCGCTTGATGTAACTGACTGACTTACATAACACAAGCTCTGAAATTCAATTTAGGTTTTGTTAAATAAGGAATCTTCAGTTTAAGTTATATAAGAGTGAAGAAATCATAAAAGATTCAGATATTATTTTATAGTTTAGAAAATGCCTTTCTTGCCAGTTCTGGGTGGAAGAAACAGAAACAAAAAATAACACAACAGCAACTAAATCCATATAACACCTCCATTTACTCAAGCAAATACACTCCAAATATTCATTCAAATTCAAGACAGTATGGTTCTGATTAAACGGGTCTCAGTAAAAGGCTCAGAAGTAAGGATATTTTTTTCCTTCAGTTCTCAGATATCCAAGTCTTCAGAATATTACTAAGAGCGCTACTGCTAGATAGAGAATAAACAAAGGCTTCCTTCACAGCCAGCATTCACACTGGGAAAGACTAAAGCCTCCAGAATAAAGACAAACATCTTCAGTACCACTCAAAAAATGAAACCAGTGTCAGCTTCACCACTTCCTATGGATAATTACTCTAGCAAACCAAAATCTTTCCCTCCCTGCCAAGCCTGGTTAGGACATCTGACCTGCATTTTAATCTACACCCTTATTTCAACTAGATTTTGTGAGATAACACTGGGCCACCTGGGATTAAAAAAAGAGATATTCTGCAGAGAAACACAATCCAAAACATTCTGCTGTCTTCAGTAGCAAACCCACACATGATTTTAATAGGAAGGATGAAAGTATTGGATGCTGAAGGCTACCATCTGCCCACCAAAGGACTCAGGATGGAAGACCAGTTTCCTTTCACTTCTTGGAGAAAGGAAGGCAATCACATAAGAGTTTTCTGATTTTTTTTCTTCCATAATGCACTGTTCAAATGAAGTGCGGCGACATTATAGCTGTCTTTTCCAAATAGTCTATTCAACTCTCAGAGTACTGATAAAGGCTCCACTAAAGTGCTATTTACAGTGGACGCTTTGTGATGTGAGCAGCAGCCCCACTAGGAGGAGGACAAAGGCTATGGCTGCATCGTGTTTGCAGGTATATTCAAGTTCGCTCATGCTCTAATTTGGCTGGGAGTGATACGGATGTGTGTAGCATGGCATTAAGCTGGAGCTAATATATCTTGCCCTTCTGCAGAGATAACAGCTTTCAATACAGAGCTGTGCTGATGTGGCCACACAGCCTCTGATCTGAAGCTCGTTCACGTCTTGCTGGTTGAGAAGTGTCAGGGAAGGCTCACATCTATCTGCAAAATGAGATATACCTTAAGATCCCCCAGCCTGCATCCTAAATAGGAATGTTGTTTGTCCCTGCATCAGCCTTAAATCTCTGCCCATAGAAGATGAAAAAGTACGTGATCCCACTAACCCCAGCTCAAATCTCCCACCCCTTTCTCCTTCTAGCTGAACTTACAGCAGTAGACAAATTTGCTATGGAAAACCACCAGGTCTCCTATGACAGGTGGGTTAATAAAGCCATTTGAAAAGATAGCATCTTTTACCAGGCAGGACAGTTGAGTGAATACTTTACAGCAAATACAATTTTAGATTAACTTTTATTATTTGTAGGCTTGTTCAAAATGGCCTCCCTATGGAAGCCTGAGTTATGTGCATATAAATACAAATAACTTTGAAGGACTCTCACTGCAGTAGATGTTTTGCAGATTTTAAAACCTTCATCCCAAATGACAATCCTAAAGTTCTCTGCAACAGCATACACGCCATTAAGCTAATGAGAACATCCGTGGTGGCAGTATTTTCAGAAGTACCTTCTATCCCTTCTTCACATCTTTTCCAGACGGAAAAAAAAAAGAAAAGATAGACAATGTTGCTCAATAATTATTATTTTTGAGTCCCCATTGACAGGAATTCACTCATATTTACCTTCCAGGCTTTTCTTACACATTTTTAACTCTAGAATGCACCTGAGTCAAGGCTCAACTAATGACAATGGTCATGGGTTTTGTGCATCTCCCTGTTTAAGCTTGTTCACCTTAGAATGACAGAATCATAGAACCATGTAGGTTGGAAAAGACCTCCAAGATCATCTGGTCCCACCACTAATCTGGCACTGTCAAGGCTACCACTAACCTATGTTACCTACCCAAAGTACCACATCTACACATCTCTTGAACACCTCCTTGTTCCAGCTCGCAGATACGCAGCTCTGCTCTTAAACACGGATTACAAAGACTTGTACTTTGAGGTGGCAATGCTCTCAGTTCAGTCCTTGGGGCTGGCCATGAGCATAATTGACTATAGTCATGTTCCAGCATTTCTCATTTGGCTTACAACAGATGTCAATTCACAGAAAAAAAAGTACTTTTTGTTCTACAGGGAAAAAAAGCAAAGCACAAAGTGAACTTTATTATACTTTACAAAACAGAATAAATTATCAGAGACATAATTTTAAAAATATTAATTCATGTATACTCTTCCCAGAGTAGAAAAGACGTATTTATCTTCTCTTGATCCCTTCCACTATCTGTTTCCCTTCACTTTTCTCTCAGGAAATAACTCCTCCACTGCAGGTAGGGAGAACACCTACTGTGCATCTAATTAAAATTCTTGTCATGGGCTAATTAGTAATGTACTGATTAGCAAGGTATTAAGGCTTCAATATATTACAGACATTCTAGAGCAGAAATCATTCCAAACATAAGGTTTCCAGCCTCTGAAAAAGATACTGCGAGTGTTTCACATCCACTGGTGCTTTGAGCTGAATTCTTTTATAACATCAGCAGAGCTTGAGGGAAAACAATCAATAAACAAAGAGCTTAGTCTGATTTGAGCTGTTTCACGTGCAATTCCATCTTCATGCTTGTCATGTATCAGAAGCATAGCTGGTTCATTTTTTAGTATACTTTATTTGCTTATAAAATCTGGGAAGGAATAATTTATACACATAAGGTGAGAATTACATGCCTTATTTTTCTTTCCTTTGTGCTGCTTTGATTTATGAATAATATAATAACATTTTCTCACATGAGAGTTTTTCTTGCTGTAGTATATCTAGAGTAAATAGTTTATTTTATTAACCTTTGTTTTAAGTCAGCCCTCTTGTAATTAGTGCATTTCTAGTTCTTGAGCTATTGCCTGTGCTTGGTAAAAGCAATGCCTGTTACTACTAAATCATTAGCTCCAAAAACCAAAAAGAGGTAACTGCCTGTTTACCTGGCAAAGGAGCTCCCTACTCAAGAGTCCTGTAAACTTAATAGGAAACTGTCAAAAATTACCGATGTGACACATGCATACGTGCTCAGTTTGATGACTCTGAGAAAAGCCACCCCATTAACACTTCGACAAATCCCCATCTTGTTTGTCTGTGACAGATGAAGTGCCACAGGGAGTCAGGAAGTGTGCCAGCGAGGAAAATCATATGCTGAAATTGATTAATTGTGGCATGGAAAATTTATAAAGTCCCACGTGATAGCTGTGACGCAGACGCACATTTTTATATCTTTGACACAAGAGGCTCCGGATCCTGACCAGTGACATCCCTGACCATCTTGCTGACCGGATAAAAGTTGCTCATCCCATTGCAGCTGGCACAGAGGAAAAAGAAAAACACTTCTGTCTGCCTGAGCCTTGTCCAAATGTGCTCACCGTGGCTCTGAAGTGCCTGGGAATGTTCTGGGATGCGACTTCTAGATGGAAGTTTTGCTCCAGAAGATTGGTAAAATCAACAGTGAGTACCCCAAGATCACTTCTGGAAAGAGTAACTTCATTTGGTATACAACATCAATAAGGCTCGAGCATCCTTTACCTAAGCAGCCTGTCTTTCCCCTGCTGTGGAAATCTTCAATCTAAACAACTATTTCTTTTTCTACCATGAAATTTCAGAAGACTTCAATTTAGGTATTTGTTTAGGTATCTCTGGGAGTTGGAGGCGTTAGGATGCAGAGAAATGTGCAGGTTTCTCAGTGGCTATTCTTCATGCTGCTGACAAATCAGATGCTATTTCCTATGCAGCTGGTTGAAGTTTAAAGCTGGGTTTGACCAGGCGATTTTGACCAGGCGATTTTGATTTTTTTTGACCAAGCATTTTTCAGTAGCACAGGCTTCTTGTCTGCCATTGCTTGGGACAGTTTTATCAGAGCGCTGCTATTCCTTTTCAGGCACTATCAGCTCCAGAAATTTTGATGCCTGGAAATGAAAGAGCCAGCTAAGGTCTAGCTTTCAGTGATTTGATGAGGAACTTAAAAGCTCTAGTCGATAGCTGGGTTTGAAGCACTTTTTTTCAGAAGTCATAGTAATATGAAAGAGAAGATTTCAAACCCATAGTTTTTCTCTCTTCTCCATCTTCTCCAAATTCAGCCCTGGTAGGTGGGTGCTGCTCAGCTAACTATAGCAGAGTTAGAGCTGCTTATTTCAAAGTGAATTTGGACCAGAGCATAGAGGGTTAAAAGGGACTGTGAGTGCTAGCTAAAACCGTATTTGCCAAGTCCCCAACCTCAGCAATCTTTGAAGTTAATAACTAGAATCATGGAAGGCCATTTCTGAGTTCTCTTCCCCTTAATGGATTTATTGGTGCCTTATGAATGTCTTGTTTCACATCTTTTAATGAAGCAGGTCCATAATAGGCCTCTCTCAGCTTTACATTCCAGGACTCATCTTTGGCACTCTAATAAAATTGTTCAGAGCTCTTTCCTGAGGCTAGGTATAATTGCATTGCACTTACAGTACTTGTTTGTATTTTATCTAGATGAGCTTTTTACAGTGAGGAAGGCAAATAAAAGCTGTTGCTAAGC